TCTCTCAGAATGATCTGTGACGCACATGCATCATAGTCTCCTGAGGAGTCTGACAAAAATGTACAATCCTTGGCTTCACCACCAACCTAATGAATCTGACACGCTGAGTGGCCTGGGAATCTGTATTTTGAGCAAGCACCCCAGATTATTTTTGTGCAAAGTCTTAGAACCGCTAATCTAGCAGATAAGTGTATGAAGAAGAGCACCCCCTGGAAAAAAAGTTTAAGAAGGAGCTGTGTTCTGCTCACCCTAAAGAAAAATGAGAATTTTGAGTCGCAGTAGCCAAGGAAAAGAGCATATCATCAAAGCACAGTGGGTTAGCGCAAAGTAAGCAGTCGATAAACATTTGTTCAATAAATATTTGGGAAGAGGATTTCAAGTTGTAATTTATGTCCCTATATTTCCAAGATCCTACAACTACTCTACAGTGTAAAGAAAGTTAATATCTGGATAATTTATGAGAAGAAAACAAATACTGGGATATATCTAAAAAAATGGATTGAATGAGAATTACTTTGATGCCAATGTCTAGGACACACTGCAAAGGTTTAGCAGGTGCCTGGCAAGTTAGTAAATAATATCACAACCTCTCGGGTCCAGGTACATCCCTGAAGTGTGCTAACATAGAAACAGTGCTCTGTGACAAAAAGATGGGTGCAGTTTTGAAAAGCACTGAAATAAAGCTGTCAGCACAGTACCATATGGATGCCCTCTCCCAGATTAACCATATTACTTAACATCAGACCAAAATTAAACCACTCCTTCATGCAGAAGCTATTAAAGACCAATAGATAAAGATTTAGCTTGTTTTCCAACTAAATCTAAGAGCACTTCCTCAGGTTGTAGTGCTGAAATAGTCACTTAGGAAACAGTTCTTTGCCAAGGTTGCTAGGCTTCAGAGCATCAGTTTTGTCAGAAACCTCACTTGATTTGAGCATTTAAAAGGATATGGGATCTCAAGACATTTGCACAATAGGAGGCAAAATGATTAAGTGACTCTCAAATTAATTCACACCTATTTGGGACCCTCCCTCCCCCAGCCACCCCCAATCTGAAGTTACCACAAAACAACCCGCAGAGGTTTTGCTTTTATTTTTCTTTCTCTACCTTCACTTGCAGGTGTTAGGTGAGAGGGCAAGCAAGCGCTTCAAACTTACTGAGTACAAAGTGCTCCCTTGCACGCTACTGCACATAAATACATCTTCACTTCGTCACCACTAAGTGCCATTCACTAGTTGTGTGACTCTGGGTGACTTTCTCATCTATGAGTCGTACCATAGATTCTTTAACAATTTTTTCCAAATCTAAAATTCTATGGTACTAAGGCTGGAGTAGAGGGAAACAGTAACCAAGAAAACAGATGTTATAATGTTATAAGGAGTTGATAAAGATAGTACTCTATTTACTTAAATATTTAGACCTCCACTTAGGAAGAAAGAGAATCTGCAGAGGCAATGAACCCAGCGCTAGAAGTACAACTTCTTGATTCAATAAGTTTACAACAAATAAACTGGTAACATTTCAAGAGTTCATCTGTTAGCTGGTAATTTAGAACATGGAGCACAAATTTTTCCACAGAAACGATGCGATATATAGTAGTTAGGCTCTAAGGCTAATTCACAAAAATTTATTTAACTTTCTAGATACTTGATAAAAATAGAAAATAGATGCTGCCACACTAGTAATTAAGCAAAAAGAACATCAAAATGAAACAAAAAGCATTTATCTTGAAGACTATTCTTCATAATGAAGTCAACCCAAAGATCCATTGGCCAGAGGACACTGTCCACCCTCCTAGTAACTGGATTCTAATAGCCCCATCCTCAAGTCCATGGACTCCAAGTTAAGGACCCTTGCTTAAATGATGCAAGAGGGTCTTACTAGTTTTCAGGTACAGGGACACCAGGGTTTCAGAAGTATGCCAAAGCCCAAAGCTGGGAGAAAAGTGCAGAGCTGGAGAGGAGAAGCTGAAGAGGGGCCTTTTCTTACATGTGTCCTGACCCCAGTGGGAAATGAACTTAGTGACTGGAGCATTCTCTCCACATTCCCGCTCCAGGATTCCCTGGACAACACTCCTGGGAGTTCAGTGGCAGCTCAGCAAACACAGAGCCTTAAAGACATGGAAAGCATGCTTCCTAGCTGGAGCAGGGATTCCGGGAAGGAACAACTCCTTGAGCTGCCATGCTGAGTCCTCGACACCTGCTCCTGCCAGGAGCAGCCCCAGCTTTGATTCTGAGGAGGCTGCCTGGAGGAAGGGCACTTGCTCTGATGAAGCCCCAGTTTAACTCCCCTACAGATCTAGGGCTTCCAATATATGTGCAAGTTCACAGGTCTGCAGTGTGTAACTTGTGGGTGCCTATCTTTATCATCTGCTAAGGCTTGAAATAGAAAATGAACGTCCTCTTCTGGGAGAGACGGCTTACTGTACTTAAAACTTTATAATGATTGAAAATGTTCCAATTTAAGTCTGTACTTTGGGCAATTCAGGTTTTTAATTCATAAGTACTTCTCCACGTTCACTATGAAGAAACAATGACCTATTATATCTAATTTGGACAGGTTTAAATATCAGGCGAAGAGTTGCAGAAGGTATTTGCCACTCCAGTTTTCTAAGATCTGCTATTTCAGTTTGCCCTCAGCTGTTCCCTTGATATTAGGCAAATTTAAAACTGAAATCATACTTCCACTCTCACTCAGATATTATAACCAAAAATAAGTAGCAAGGAATTTGGTATGTTAGATAGGACATGGCATATATACTGAGCTTTTAATTAATTATGTTTCTGAACGTATGAATAGATCTGCAGTATAGCCAAATCCAGGTACTAAAGGAATCTTTCAATTCTTTAATAAGTATATCCAAATGTGATACTTAATTACAATCTAAATTGAGGTTTGGATTCTACTTGCATTCAAATTATTGCCAGGAAGGGCAGTCTGGGTAATGGATGCACAGCTATCAGAGTGGAACTCAGAAGCTGACCATGGCATCCAGCTCTCTTAGTTTATCTATACGTGCTGCTTTTTCCTCAGATTAAACCCACTTCTCTTTCCTTGCCTCTTATTGTTATACTGTAGTCACCAACTTTATTTCTTCTGGTATAACACTTTGTGGTTGCCTGAATTTAACACTGTAAATATTATGTAGCAAAGTACTGGAAAATTCACTAAAAAGGATAATTTAAAAAGGCATGCAGTAAAAAAATCTTGCTTTCCTAACTTTAAGCTTAACTACCTACTGCAGGGGTGACTTGGCAGAGATCCAGAAGATTCTTCCAATTTCTCCCTTTCTGAGGCAAGTTACCAGCAACCTCTATCTTTCGTCACTAACACATATATACCCAATGTGCCAAAAGTAGGAATTTGTTATAAAACAAAACCCAAATCAGATTCTACTTGCCCATTGCAGTGTTCAGCATATAACACATTTCTACCAGCATTCAGTTTTCAGATGGGCTACTTTCTCAGCTGAGTGGCAGGACACCAAAAAGGGAAGGAGAAGTCAATGTCATAGGGTATAAATAGCTGTGACCAAAAACAATATTGCAGAAGAGCCGATAGAAGAAGGGCTCCCCAAATTGCAGCAGAAGGGACTTAATTCCACATATCCCTTCATGAGGACCTCAGGGAAAATCACCATTAGGACCCAAAGGGTGGAAGCAACCAGAACTCACATAAGACTTGCAACCTTTTGTTAAAGAGATGAACTTGCAGTGTTTTCTAGGGTTTCTGAAACACACACAGTATCTTAAATCTCAGCTGGTAGGGCCATGGAAAGGAAATTTTTTCTAATGAAAGTTAGGTTTAGAGAAAACGCCACCCAATAGGAAGTCAGTATTTCCTCAGATGTACTGAAAACCACACACCAATACCAACGCTGACTTTTAAATTGTTGAACTCACTCATTACACTTGAGAGAAAATTTGCCACCACATGGCTAAACTAAACGCGAACCTCACTTTACACAAAAGTAAACCCTGCATTGTGTTCCTATCACCATTCATTACACACAGCCCCCAAATCCAGTAATTTCACACGACAATGTTAATACATTTGAGATCGGTGGGTGAAACGGGATGCGACACACCCTTCACTTTGTCAGGGTTTGCTGGACTTTGCAGGATTGCTCTCACGAGTTGGAAGTCCTTAAGTTTACCAAGATTCTGTAGCAGAACACACACACGCGGACTCTTCAGGCATCAGCAGCATTCACAAAATGCGATCATAAAGTTATGTAAGAAAAGCAGTCTCTCCTCGAAGGAATGAGAGCAGGCATACAAGAAGCCAGGAAATCGCACATCCTCCTTGCGGGGCTGGGTCACAGGAACTAGGTATGAAACAGGGCGAAGTACACTGGGAAACGAACCAGGGCAGTTACAGCTGAAAAGATGCAGGCACCGCCGCCTGAGCAGCTTCAGCATCCCTCCGCAAGGAGAGTGTGTGTTGTCTCATGAGCCCCTTTGGACTGGGTCACGGTCCAAGCTGGGACCACTACAGCCTCACGAGAATTCCAGCACGTGCGAGAGGAGACGGGGGAAGTGGCATTAAATGACCCACTGCCCAGGGGCGCCGAAGCTGTCACCGCCCTGGGACTCGCGCACGCCCCGGCGCTGCCACCTGCTTTCCACTTCCTGGGGAGGGCAGGTGACGCGTGGGCCCCGGAGGCACCAGGGGCAGGGATAATGAATCTGTGGTGTCACAGCCCGAGCACGAGCACATGTCCCCAGGGCCCGACCCCCCGCAGCCGGCGACCCTCCCCACGCGGCGCGCGGCCCCGGGGTGGAAGCCTGAGAACTTGCAGGCGGCCGAGGCCAGGGCCCGGACGCCAGTGGGGAGGGGGCGGTGCCGGGTCTGAGCGCCGGGGTCGCCCGGGCGCGGCGCGGGGACCGTGGGAACCGAGGCTGGGGGCGGGGCCGCCGGAGCCAAACAGCCGGGGGCCGTGCCGGGGATCCCCGGGGGCGAGGGCGGGCGCGGGCGGAGAGGGACGCCCTGGCCGCTACCTGCTGCTGGATCTTCCCGTCCTCTGTGACGACCCAGTGCGTGGTGGCGAAGGCCCCGCGAGCCGCCACGCTCAGCAACGCGGAAAGGCTGAGGAGCCAGCCTGGGCCGGAGCAGGGCGGCAGCTCGCACCGGCCGCGGACCCCTACTGCCGCCGCCATCTTGCCCCCCCGGCCGGGCCGCTCACACCGGAAGCGGAAGCGGGACCTCGCCGCCCGCCATCTTGGGGAGGTCGGTGCTGCAGGAGGAGGAGCCGAAGGGCGCTGCCCGCTGACGCCCGGCTTCTCAGCCTCGGTCTGGGCGGCTCGGCCAGCCCGGCCTCGGGTCGAGGACCGCGGTTTTGGTATTGTTTCCGTGAGCGCGACGCGATCTCGGAGCGTGGGGACCGGAGGGAGAGGAAAGGAGCGTTCTGGGTGGAGCCCGAGCCGCCGTGAGAAGGGCTCGGAGGGCCTGTCAGTTTGGTTGAACGTCGGTTTTTGTTTTATTTTCTGGTTGTGTAAAATAGTTGGGAATGCCTTCGAAACACCTAAGGGAAGAGACGCGTTCTCTTTTATTCTTGAGGTCTCACTGGTGGAAGCTTCCCAGTTGGGAGGGTGGTTAGCGTGCGGCAGCGCTGTCCAGGCGAAATCCGCCAGCCGCGAGCCACGTGTGTAGTTGTCAGTGGTAAACAGAAGGAAATCAGTGACACACTTGGTTTAACCCTTTGTATACGATATAGTAGTAGTTCAGTTTGAGATCTGTGCACGTCTTTGAGATATTTTATTTTTGTCCTGAGCCTTCGAAGGCGGGATGTCTTCCACATTTACAGCTCATCCGAAGCGGGCCCGGCCGGGTGTCAGGGCTTCCCGGTGGCTGCCCTGCTGGCGGCCTGGGCTGGACACCGGCCGCGTCGGACCTGCGCGCCCTCGCCCTTCCCCTCCCCGCCCGAGGCTGCCTTTTAACAGGAGGCGCCGCCGACCGGTCTGTGCGTTCAAGTTTGAGAAGCTCTTCGCCCCAGTGAACCCACGCGCAGGCGGAGCGCCTGGCTGGCCTCTGGCTTTTAGTTAGTTGTGTCGTTTTAGGTCTTTCCGGGCTGCCTTGTAGCTTTGTGTGTCAATTTTTATTTAAGCTCATTATGCTTTTGGTTTTCTCTTTGGGAAAAGGAGGATGAGAATTTTGACCGCTTCCCTACGCTGGTGTATTGCTGGAAAACAAAAATAATTGGCAAGTGTTAAACACTACTTCCTGATGTGGTAGCAGTGACCCCAGCATTGGTTGGTTTTTCTTGCCGCTTTTCTTAGAGGACTGAAGTAATGCACATTCATTAAAGAATGTATAGCAGGGCCGGTCTGGTGGTGTAGTGGTTAAGTTCATCCACTAGGCTTCCGTGGCCAGGGCTTCATTGTTTGGATCCAGGGCAAGAACCTACACACCACTCATCAGCCATGCTGTGGTGGTGTCCCACATACAAAATAGAGGAAGATTGGCACAGATGTTAGCTCAGGGCCAATCTTCCTCAGCAAGAAAAAAAGTATGGCTTATTTGCGTTTTTCCTAGTACTCTGCTAGGATCTGGGTATGGAAATTTGACCACTGAGCAATCTGCAGTATAGTGGGATGCTGGCAGGTTAGCAATTGAAATATAGGATAATTGGGGTGTATAAGGGCGCATGTGTAGGAGAGCAGCCAACCAGGTGAAAGGCTTGGAGCAAGGTGCTGATTCAGGCAGAATAAGCAATAAATGTGTAAAGGTGAAATTGGTGGCAGTTCATAAGGGTTTCATGTATGTCATACCAAGGAGTTCAAACAAAGACAAACAGGAAGTGTTCCAAAGTTTTGAAATAGAGAAGTGGCAAGTGATGGAGTCCCCTTGTTCTCAGCATCTTATTTTAAGGCATAGAAGTCCACTCTCTTACCTGGGGATAAAGCTGCTGAATAATGGCAGTCATCATCATCTAACGTTTGTTGAAAGTTTAATACGTACTGGGCACTGTGCACTCATAGTTCCTGTTAAGCTTTGTGTACTCCTCAGGCGTAGCCTAGTTAAGTAATTTGGCCAACATCATATGGCTGGTAAGTGGCAGAGCTCAGCTTTGGACTCAGATCTACCTGACTCTAGAGCCTGAGCATGGATGAAGGATGGTGAGGAGTTTGAGAGAAGCCCCAATATCACATATTTTGGCCTTCAGCGATTTCTTTGACACAAGTTAACCTGTAACGGGGCAGAATTATAGCTTTGACAGCTTTAATGTACCATCCACCTCTGTTTTCCCTAGAAGGTAACCCTTCTCCTTTGGGATCCTGTATTCGTTTTCTATTCCTATGTAACAAATTACCACAAATTTAGCAGTTTAACACACGCTTATTATCCCAGTTTCCATGGGTCAAGAATTGGGTGTGCTGTGGCTGCCTTCTCTGCTCAGTGTCTCCCATGCCTGATGAGAGGCTGCAGTCTCATCTGAGGCTTGGGGGCCTCTTCCAAGCTCCTTCAAGTTCTTGGCAGAATTCAGTTCTTTGCCATTGTAGGACTGAGGTCCCAGTTTTCTTGCTGGCTGCTGATTATGGCCATTCCCTCTCAACGTGGCAGTTGTTCCTTCAAGGCAAGCGGGAAAATCTCCGCTGCCTGAATCTCTGACTTCCTCCACCTCTGATCTTTAGGCCCAGATTTAAAGGGCTCATGTGACTAGATGAGGTCCACCTGGATAATCTCGCCTTTGATTAACCCCGGATCAACTAAGGAGTAACCTTAAGGACATCTGCAAAAATTTCTTTTGCCACACGCCATGGTAAATCACAGGAACGATATCATATTCACATGTTCTGCCCACACTCAAGGGAGGAGGTTTTATGAGGGCAAGGCTCCTTGGGGGTCATCTTAGAATTCTGCCTTCCACAGGTCCTGACTGCTGAGTTCCGCTCTCGTCTTTTAGTGAACTGCTTTAAGCATCACACACTAACACTTGCAAGTTCTTTTGCTTCTCCTGTTCACTGCCTGAAATCCTTTCCTTGCTCTCCTTTTTCAAATCTTTTATTTAAGGTACAGCTCAAATCCCAGTCTGTCAACTTCTGTTTGCCTCCTCTGAATTCTGTAACACTAATATGACCTTTAGTAACATGTTACTTTGTGATATTACTTTGTAAAGTTTGAACAGCTAAACTCTTGAGTAATTCTTTGTTCAATTAGTTAGACTGTTAGCATCTGATGGCAGGAAGCATTTCCATACAAATCTATTTTTATCTTCCATAAAGCTTCCATACTTAACGTGGTTAGTGTGTTGACTTAGTTTTCTTGCCCCTAGAAAGGTAGCTTTCCCATTTTACGTGAATAAAACAGTTAAAAATCCTAACCTAAATAAAATTGCTACTAATTTTCTAAATCCAGATAGCTGTTACTTGTTACCCTTCTTTTTTGTTGTTCTAAGACCTGATACTTCTTTTTCCATTTTAATTACATGTTTTCTCTTTTAGATGCTTAGATGAAACCTTTAGAAATATAAGATGGTAGTTGACAAAACTGCTTATATCTCTAAATTATGATTGAATTCTTAGTTGAACAAATGATAGGAAAACCTGTAACATCTAATTTTGTCTTTCAACCATTAAGTATTTTAGCACATAGGTCCTTTAACTTATTTACTATCATCATAAATTATAGGAGTTTTTTATTGAGGTCACATTGGTTTATACCATTCTGTAAATTTCAGGTGTACATCATTACGTTTCGAGTTCTCTATAGACTGCATCGTTCACCACCAAACAGTTCCATCCGTCACCCTACATGTGTGCCCCTTTACCCCCTGCCCTTCTGTATCTGTGTGTATCTTCCACATATGAGTGAAATCATACGGTATTTGATAAATTATAGAATTTTTGAATCCAGGAACTGAACAATGATAAAATGATGTCTGGATTATTAATTTCCTTCCTTGGAAATTATTAATTTTAATTAATAACTTGCTATTTTATCTGAAAGTTGCAAAAGATCTCTATACTGTTTATTCCTTTAGAGAAAATACTTAAGATATAAATATCCCTGAGAGAGTTAGCACTCTGGTTTAAATTCTGTTAATTGATTATCTTTTACTTCCTAGTAAACAAAGCTAAATCTTAGTAGGCTTAAATTTTAAGCTATAAAACATGATTTATTGTATTTCAGTTTGTTGGCCGGACCCAGCTGGTGGTTCTTCTGCTCCTCCTGCTGTTGGCTGGGGTCACTCATAATAAGGCTGCATTCAGCTGGGACCTCAGCTGGGGCCAGAATGTCCCCAAATGGCTCCACTCACGTGTCTAGTGATTTAGCTGGAGTGGCTGAAATGGCTGGAGGTGGCTGGGCCTGTCAGTCAGGGTAGGTACAGGGGCCTCTTACATGGTGGCTCAGGGCTCCAAAAGAGTGAGAGTAGAAGCTTGAGGGCCAGGCCCAGACCTGGCAAAGTGTCACTTCTGCATTCTATTGGTCAAAGAAAGTAACAAGTCTAGCCCAGATTCAAGGAGAGACGGAAATACTTATCTTGATAAGTGAAGCAGCATTTTCGAGCAGGAATGGAGGGAATTACTGACAGCATACTACGTGTAGTTAATTCCTTTAGAGCAGTTTTGCATTGATGTGGGTTGAGGCTGGAGAGGGAGGGAGGCTGGTTTTTGCAGGAAGGCTGGCTGTACAGCTGTATCTCCCCAGCTGCTATATGCAAAGTGAGGAGCATTTTCAAAAGGGGAGCAGAGGATAAACGTAGTAATCTTATTTGGAAATAGTTTGCCAAATAGATCAGGCAGTCTGAAGCCTGAGGACTACTATGGATGAGACCAGGTGTCCATTCAGCCCAGGATTCTCACAATGACACCAGGGCTGCTCTGAGGACAGCGTGATGGTCAGCCTCAAAAGAATTTTCCTGATACAGACTCACTGGCCATTAATTTATCCAGATGCTTGCAGTTGTTGATACATCTGGGGAGGACATTCTATGGAGTAATTGTATTGTGACTGTTCATTCTGTAAGTAGCTAAAGGTTATAACACCCACCCCCAGCTTTTTTTACTCCCTCATATACACCCAAGTTTCAATATCCTGATTTTATGATTAAATCCAAGTTCATTCTATTCAAACCTTTTGTGAGTTTGTATTTTTTTTTTTTATTTTCCTCATCACTTTATAGCATGCAAAATTTTATGGGAATACCATTCTCTCCTCTCT